AACTTAACCCATATGCTCTAGGAATGCTCTAATATCCGTACGTTTTGGGCAGAACCTAATTGCAGACTTAATTGCAGAACTAAGTAGTTTCTATCAAAACTGTGTTGCAAACTAAACCTGTAATTTTAAACCTAACAGATGTTAATAGGAAGCTAAAAAATGTTGGCTTAGCACAGTACAGGTTGAACCTCTCTAGTCTGGCACCTTCAAGACTTGAATGGTGCTGAACTAGACAATTTGCCGAACCATGGGTGGTCAATATTGTCTAGTACTGACACTTCCACTGCTTTCTGGGCTCTTAGAATACATTTAAGGGTAAATCAGAGCTAAACAACAGCACAGAATACTGAGAGCCAGGACTGGTGGCTGTAAACAAACTTAATGGGACAATGGGACACTTGGCCACACCCATGGTACAATCATGCTGGATCACAGGTGTTGCCAGACCACAATGTGCCAGACTAGGGAGGTTCAACCTGTATTAATAATTACTAAAAGACTAGTGCTACAAAAGTGAAAATTCAAAAAGATATAAACAACTGAAGACTGGAATATACCTATTGTAAGTTTGGCCACCATGGAAGGAATGGAAGACAGTAACAAGTACACAGAAAAAAACAAACCTCAGATATCAAATGCTGTCCTGGAAGCATAGGAATGATCTTATTTAACGCAGGCGTTCCTGCCTCCCCCGATCTCTTTTCTTTCAACTTCCTTTTCTCCTGCCTCTGTTACCACCATGAGTTTTGCTTTTATTCTTTATCTTAATTTTTAATTAGTTTAATTTTATATACATTAATTGTTCTTAAGAACATGAGTGAATGGAATGCAGTCAGTATACTTTTCTCTCTCTATATATAGGCATCAAAGCAAATATTGGATTTCCTACAATTTCATCAGATATATGGAATATTTAAGGTTATTTAGACTGATGAAAAAATTCAAAATACATTTCTCCCTTTATAAAAAATTGAAAAGTGTTCTGATAACAGTATATGTGGGATTTATTTGTTAGAAAAAGGTCCAGAAATTTACTTTACCTGCAAAAGTCATGGAAAATAAGCTGAAATACTTTTCTTGTTCAAATCAAAACAAAAATAAAGTCACTTGAATATCATCCTTCGTAACACAAGATGATCTGGTATTTAGGGCGTAGGCCTTAGTGTCATTAGTGTCTTCCTGTCTGCTGAGACATCTTAGGAAAGCCACTTCACTCCCTTTCCTTAACTGATCCGTATCACTTTCAAATCACTCCTCAGGACACCAGATTTCTATGAAGTCTAGAGGGCATGATATATTGCTTTTTAGGTCAGAGTGGAATTTTGTGGAGGACTAGCTTTTAGGTTTCAAATGAATTATCTCAATTTTGTGAACGAGTCCATAGTAACACACTTTGTGTGTTACAAACAGTATTAAACAAAAAAGGACAGTTTGAAGGGAAGTAAGAGATAGCTGGTATTTTGTGCGTTCATGTAAACACTTAGTTTACCAGTTTCTGGGAGCAAGAATTGAATCCGTGTGTGTCTGTTGACAACACCTAACATATTGTGGATGTTCCTGATGTAGGAGTAATGAAAGCAATAATGTTCCTTGTTACTGAAATAGAAATGATAATACCCATTTTTATAAAGAGCTTTGATATCTATCCATGAAAGTTTCTATAAAGTCTTGTTAAGAAAGGAAAGTCTAGGTCAGTGGTTCCCAAACTTTTTGGCATCACCCCTCCCCCCTTTTGATTTTTGAGAAATCCTCATGCCCGCCCTCCCAAAATAGCAGCAAAACTTGGGGTGGGTTTGACGGCGGTGTGTGTGGCTAGGTCACTTCACGGCCCCCCCTCCCCCGGGGGCACGTCCCCCAGTTTTGGAACCCATGGTCTAGGTGATGTTATTTCTCCTCTTACGAATTAAAATGCTTTAGTGCAAGTAAGATCTCAATGCTACATGTAATCCCACCAATGACATGCAAAAATTAAGATCAATGAAATTTTGAAATTCATGAAGCAATATCACACTTTTCTGTATTACCTGTATTTATATTTCAGTACAGCATAGAGGCTGCAACTGGTACATGGCACATTTGTGAGGGACAACCACAGATCCCATTGGATGGGAGCAACAAACCACAGCCACTGGGTGCAGGGGGAGGGAGGGAGAAGGAAGTCTGCAGATTGTCAATGTCAGCAAAATGTCTCTGACTCACAGACCACATTACCCTAATGGGCCACATTCAGCCTACAGGCTGCCTATCATTGATATAGATGTTTCTTCCTTTACGAATTGGAGCTTTTCATGCAATGCAAAGTCTGCTTTTCTACTACAGAAATCAAACATTTGCAGACATATTTCCAACTTTCTTGTCTGCTTCAATGGTGTTTTTGTTGTCATTCTCTTGTAAAAAGTGTGACTGCTACAGAACAGCCCAGGTAGTCAGAGTCCAGTCCACAGGCTCAAATAGAGAATGACACTATGAACAGGCCAGTTACCTTAGACCCTACTCCTAGCATACATCTTGTAGGACAAGTCACTAATGTTTATGCTTCAGTTTCTTCATATTACAATGTGCATAATAGTCATTGTGCTTA